GCAGGAATGGGGCTGTAGAACAAGAAGAAGAGAGAGAGCATTAGTTGGATTCAGCTTGAAAGACAGACTCTGACAAACAGAGAGAGAAACAGAAAACATTTCCTGTCTTGAGGTTTCAGATGACAGAGTCTCTATGAGAAAATAATCATCTCGGGTCTAATAAAATTCTACTTTGACTACAATCTGCAGAATCAATTACTGCTCTACATAAAAAATAAAAATGCTCTGTGTATTTCATGTTTGAAATGAAAAACTCCAATTTCTTTCCTTATTGCTGATAATACTGACGATGACACTCAGATTGTTCAGTACTGACAGTTTATAGTTTGGACAGATTAGACTGACAGAAACTAACAGAAACCCTGCTTGAGCATCACTGGCTTTTATATCTGCCACTGGATGTTGATGCTATTATTAATTACTTACTTCACTTTTACACCAGCTATGCAGCTCGACTACCACTGAGAAAACAGGACTTACAGTAAGTGGGACACTGTTCCAACAAGTCCTGTACAATACATTTGTCGCCGCCCTCCAATTTGACCCACAGTAGTGCCACCTGGGTTAAAGCCCCTACAGTGGGAGGCATTTGGCAAACAAGAGCAACGCCATAGATGTCATCCAGCACAGAATGAAATTCTGCACCATTAGCCCTGTTTTAAAACAATATTGTGTCTGTCCCCTCCCTCGGCTTTTTACTCTACTGCAGCAGGTCAGAACAACTATAAGCACATTTGATATCTAATGTGGCTGGACAGCGTGTCTTTAAAAGTAATTCTGAGAGACCTACAGGCCTTACAAGGGAACGACACATCAACGCAGGCCAACAACTCTTTAAACCTTTTCATACCGACACTAGCAGTCAAGGTCTGGACACACGTTCCTATTGACCTCGGGCTGGTGGTGTATATGTACATGATGTGTTGTGAAAAGCATTCAGTTACTAGAAACATCATGAAACAACTGAAATCCATGTTATGACTTTTCTCCTGGGCAAAACCTTCTCCAGGAGTGTGGGGGAAGGTTTCATTAAAGACAAATACAGTCAGACAGACCACAGACAATAGATGCTGCTGCTACGTCTGATTGGCACAGTGTCGGCCTGAGCCATTTTAACATTCCCTGTTTTAATATAGGACAATTTCTCCTTCCTCTGAGCTGCTTTCATATATGGTTATTTTATCTTCCTATTTTATTTTTTTATTTTATTTCATTTTAGTAACTTATCTTTGATTTTGATTGATATATTTATTATGGCACCATTATTCTCTACTTTATGTACATTACAGCGGTTTTCACTCTGTTTTCATTTTTCCTGCTAACTTCATTTCACTGTTTGCAACCTGCTGTGTGGTTGTGTTGTCCTTAATTTGCTGAGTAAGAGCAAACACCAAGACAAATTCCTTGTATGCTTGCGTAAAGTTGATTGACTGACTGATTGATTACTGTGGCGTCTACCTGCTGCTGATCTGATGATCAGGTGAGAGAGAGTCACCTCTGCACCTGCCGCCTCAGGCTACCAGCCAGTTTGTTTGTACCTGCTGCTACACAACAAGTGGCATGGTCACATGGGGCGCAGCAAAGTGCCAGAGCCATGCACGAGTCCACGTGCTTTGGTTGTTAGGGCCTTACACAAACATGCAGCAGGACATGCTGATAAACTTAGAGATTTCTCCTCACGCTCTATTACTCTGCCACAACACTATGTGGAGTAATGTGTGTGTGTGTATACAGTGGATATAAAAAGTCTACACACCCCTGTTAAAATGCTAGGTTTCTGTGATGTAAAAAAACAAGACCAAGATAAATAATTCCAGAACTTTAGCCACATTTAATGTGACCTATAACTTGTACAACTCAATTGAAAAACAAAGTGAAATCTGTTTTTCAGTGGGAAGTAAAAATAAAAAACTAAAATAATGTGGTTGCATTAGTGTGCACACCCTTAAACTAATATTTTGTTGAAGCACCTTTTGATTTTATTACAACACTCAGGGATAAATATCTCCGGCTCAACACCAGTCAGTCAGAACTGATGAAGCCTCTTGGATGAGATGTGAAACGTCTTCGATCTAGAAATCTAGTCCAGGTTCTTTCTATACACACACACACACACACACACACACACACACACACACACATATATATATATATATTTACACACTGTAAACACAATCACTGTATGTCGCACTTGATGTCCAGAACGTCAGAATGTGAAGCAATGATTGAACCTGATGGTGTAGTGCGGCTGTGATGGATGAAGGCGTGACCCTCCTCACACCTGCAAAAACACATGATGGGATGTAACCTGAGAAGTTTTACTTACTGAGAAAACCAGGGTCTCACACACACACATGCTGAGTGAGGTGAAAGGTCAGGGAAATAAACAAATAAATAGAAAACAACTGGGCTTATTTTTGGAGACTCCCCTGAAATGTCATGTTCAGGTTTTCAGGGGGTGCGAGCAGTCAGTGAGGGGCCTGGGACCCCCTGTGTTTCGCAGGCTGGTGCTGATATCCTGATATCTGACTCACTGTGGAAGTGAACAAGAGAAGAACCAACCGTCGTATATCGAAGGTTTCGTGCTGATCTGAGCATCAAGAGCTTCAGCTGAGTCGTCTCACACTGAGGGAATGGGACTTTTACTTCACACCCAAGGTGAGCTAATGTCAAAAGTCCCCCCCACGTCAACTCTACTGAACACTCTGCGAGGATTCACCACTGAAGAGTGTGAAGAAGTCTGACTTTTCCTGTTTCTTGACGAGATAATGTTTTATTTAATGAACGTCTCACACTTTACACACAGTAGCATGTTAACTCCTCGTCCAGCGTGGGGGGGAAGAGAAGGAAACAGGAACGCTTTCAAGCGGGGAGTAAACACATATCAGTACTTTAAAACTGAGAATTTACTGCAGTTATATCAATCTTCAGAGAGAGTGAGATTTGGCCTAAATGCAGGAAGATTCCTCGCCATTAGTGATGACCATGTTTACACTTCATTATCTGCTTCATTCGAGCTGTAAAACATGTTCGAAACCTGATAACAGCAGTTATGAAGATTAACAAGGCCACTGTGAATTTGTGACACAGATACAAACAACAAGATGAATCTTGAAAGCAAAATTATCGGCCTGTTTTAGTGGCGTTTCAGGAATTAAACAGCATTGGTGAGAGATGTCCTGCAGCCGACAGCTACTGACAGGCTTTTAAATCCCTCATTAAACATGCGACACCTCCCCTGTCTGTGGGGTAACATTAGCCTTCATCAATCAAACTTCACAGTAACACGCCTACACTCTCTAGCACGTCAGGTTCATGTATCTAATACATTACACGCTCTTTTTTGCAGTGATACAGTAATGTACTGTAAAGCTGCCTCATGGAGTTTTGTTTCTACATTAATCTCGTTGGCATGAAGCAAATCCTAGATGTGCATTAAGAACTTTCTCTTTACAGAAGAAATCCCTCTGTTCATCTTTCTGTGCATGGCAGCGCTGGCAAAGCACAGACAAACATCTTCTGTCCTGCTCCTTCTTCAGTTTGGGTGTATACCAGGTCAGGACTGGTTCAGGCCCGTGGACTTGTGTGTGGCTAAACACAATCAGCCAGAACATGTTATTGCCTAGTGATCGTGTATAAGATGAGCAAACAGTTCTACATAAACAACTGACCTGGCTCTTTTTAAACTGCAGTGCATCACTCAAGCAGGAACTTCTGCTTTTACTCAATAACGCTCTTCTCACTAGCAGCTCATAAATAACTAATAAATCACAATCAATCACAGCCAGGGGCTTTATAAACACCAATCAACTCTTCATGTGTGTGTTGGAATACTTGGATTTGATCTATAAACCATATAAAATCTCTGTTATCTGTGTTTTCTTTCCAGATTGGCTGGCAGTCCCACACCCATGAACCAATAGTGCACACTCAGCCATTGTTGCATGTTTCACTTGGAGCAGACGATGTACATTATCCAGAAACCATCAGTGCTTTGTGAATTAAGGCGAGCGTCCTCTGACCACACGGCCAAGACACCCAGGGAAAATGGCCCGTGTTATTAGTTGTGAGAGACACAACACAGTCACGACAGTGTGTGCAGCGTGAGAGTGTGTGTATGAGGACTCTGGTATTCACACAGCAGGATGCTGCTTTAATGGTTTCTTCTGCGATCACTGTTGTCATACTTTATTATTTCCCTTTTGTTGTACCTCAGGCAGGCCCTGCTTCACACATTCACACTCTGCTGTTGAAACGAACTCTGGTGGACGAACAGGAAATGGGTCAGACTCATTTTTACTTCATCTGTCAAGGACTTCGGGTTGAGAGGAGATTTTGGTCTGGCACCAGATTTGATAACGCTGGACCACGTGATGCAAAAAGTTATAATGTGTCGAAGCATCATGCTGTGTAACGCAGCAGGGCAGCTTTCAGTAGTTACTTAACAGGACTAAAAATCAAAGGACATCACATGACATGCAGCTGAGCAGTTAGGACACATATGGCCACAACACCCCAGTCGGGGATCTTTGCTGACACCACTTCCCTTATTTCCTCTCTGCCCATTAAAGGTAAAAATATCACACTAATGCTCTGTTGGTAAAAGCTGGGCGGAACATATCTACAGGTGACTGAGAAAGGTAAACCGTACAGCCATGTGAACACAAACTTAACGTAGAAGGAGAGGTTAAGTAGAAGATCTCATCTCATCACAACGCTGTTAAAGTACGTATGAACACCCTAACAATGGTTATGCCTCATCATCACTATCACTACAGTAAACAGTTCCTACATCTTACCTTATAACAGTATTCCCCTTTCTGATTTACATCAGATCATCTCTCCAGAAACTGTCAGCTTCCCCTTATACTGATGAAACCTCCTTCTATAACACATTGCATCAGCATCAGGAACTTCCTATTGAGTGTCTCTCCCACTCTGTCTCGCCTCCTTTATGTCCTGTTTACGCCAATGAGAGAGCCGAGGCCTGATGAGGAAGGAGCGACAATCATGAAACAAACGGGGAAGGACAGCATGAAAGGAGGGTGCGAAGTTTGTGGCTAACAGAAATGTCAGGAAACACTGAGCATCAACCAACTGCCAAGACAAAGTAAAATAATTAACTAACAGGAGTTAATTAACCAGCATCTGAGCATCTAAAACCAACATAATGAAGAGCTTTCTTCTACTCACCCTCACACTGATGGCAGGTAAAAAAGATTAATACCTGATTACTGACATTACAGACTAACACATGTAACCTATTACCCTCCTCTAAAATGTTTTAAATTGTCCGTGGTCTGGTTGGTTGGTTTAATGTGCTTCACTACAGCCAGTAATAAGAGTACAAGTCCTAAATAGACACATTGTGCTGCAATATTTTACGGTAAATCTCAGCTCATTTAGTCATTAAGACAAAACTTTCATTACTTTCAGTTCAGCTCTCAGTATTAATCATTTATGTACACAGTGGGTATAACTCAATAATTAATATAAGTTTACTACTAAATGAAAACTCCCCTCGTTAACTGGCACTGATGTTTTTGTTTGTTTGCCGTGACAATTTAAAAAAGTAAACTTTTAAATGTGTGTGGTAGACATCTTTATTTTTGTTACTTTTCTTCAGTTTAAAATATATATATGTACAATAACTTTAAAAATGTTAAAATGACTAAATGTCAGCAAGTGTATTTCTATTTCCAGGTTATAGAGCATATTTTTGCAATAAAGTATTAAAAACACAGTTAAAATAATAAAAACTGACAAAATCACAAATCTGAACAGGATAACAGGTAAAACAAGTTCTGGCTTCACTGACGCAGTTAAAGGCAGCTCAGAGGTATTTATTAATTATTATTTGTGGTTGTTTCAGTGTCATGATGTGAACTTTTCTCTTTGACCTACAGGCCGTGAAGCCTCAAGTGACAAACTGCCATGTACAAAAGGATGGGTCGAATTCACCTGCAAGTATCCTAATAGAAATAAAAATTATGCAACGATTGAGGTACATTATCAACCAGAAACTGTACGCAGCACTGAAAAGGATAAGTGGCAAAGTGTGGGCAGGTATTTCCTGTACCATGACACACAAAGTGAAAAACTCAGGGTGGCCATCAAAAAAATTCAATATGGGGACTCTGATGACTACAAGTGTGTATTTTTCCCAGGACAGCATAAAACAAAAGTGAAAGGTGGTAAGAAATGTTACATTTTCTTTCATTTGTTTCTCATGTTCTTCGATAAAGCACTCTGTAACTGTGATAATAGCCACATAAAAATAATAAGGAATGAACTGATACCACGTTTTTAAACTGCATACCAGTATGAGTACTGACATTTGAGTGCAGAACTACCAAGTATCGATACCAGTTCTCAATAATAATGAAGCATTTCTTCTATAAAAATGACTATACAAGTGCAATGAGACCTTGTTTCCTTTCTGAATAAAAGTTTAAATCATATATGTAACAGGAGGCTGTTGGTGACGACCATCATCATCCATTATCAATACCGTTTATTCCTGAACAGGGTCGTGGGGGGCTGGAGCCAATCCCAGCTGACACTGGGAGTGAGGCAGGGTCCAGCCTGCAGTTCCACCGACCTACGTAGTTATGTTATTTCAGGAGGTGCTTCTATGGGTTATGTGAGACGGAAGGGACAAATGACCATATGGTTATGTAGGACTTGTTGGTTCCATCACGTGGTAGGGTTAGTGTCATATTTTATGTTTTACCTTTCAGAGGAAATGAGGTGTCGGAGACCACTGACTCAAACTGCGTACACAACAGCTAAAACCACCATCACGTGTAATAACCCAGCAAACGGCTACAGATCCACTGCTGAGTTCTTCTGCAAAGAGGGCAGCTCCTCCTGTGGGGACCTTTTATCAGACTCTTCTTCGAAGTCAAACGGGAGGTTCACTTTCACAAACACAGGCAGTGGCTTCACAGTGTCCATCAGTAACGTGTCCTCACAGGATGAGGGCGTCTACTGGTGTGGAGTCAAACCAGATAAAGGAAGTGACAGTACAGGACTAACACAGATACAACTGAAGGTTCAAAGTGAGTAACACATCTACAGTACTACACATTTGGCTGCTTTCTAGGTGTCAGAGGTGTGTGACACAGCACAACATGTAACAAACACTGAGATGTTATATTGGCAGCAGACGACTCTGGCTCACATTTGATATTTAGCAGAAGGCAACTATCATAAAATAAACACCTATACATACATACAGTGATCTATACTGTGCATCTAAATGATTAAAAGCCATGGGGTTAGAACTGTCTGAGCATAATAACCTGTCTATGTCTGTCTACAGACATTTCCACCTTCACAGCATCACCAGCTGTTGGACAGGACCTCATGTACTGGTGTGGTTACCACAGTGGTACTTATGAAAATAAATTCATCTGTAAGGGAGAAGATCCATCTACATGTCAGCGTCTGGTGAGCACTAACCAGGGAAGTGTCGGCAGGAGGTTCTCCATGAAAGACGATAAGAGCCAGAGCAACATCACTGTAACGGTGAGAAGAGTAACAGCAGACGACACTGGGACGTACTGGTGTGGAGCAGAAAGCACTGACAGTGGACACAGGAACCAGTTCCTCCACAGATACCTGATCACTGTAGGTGAGTGTTCAGTTTTTATTGCTTGGCTATAATCTGACCCCCGTTCATCTATTCATCTGACTACTGGTGGTGAGGTTCACTTGTGGCAGGTTAAAGTGCCTCCAACAGCTGAGACGTCCGTCCCTGCTGAGTGTCAGACACTGCTGATGCTTGTCGTAAAGTGAGATAGTGTGTTATTTAAGTTACTGTATCATGTTATATCCACTTCAAATACAAAATATAGGCTCTACTTTATAAAATGTTTTATCAAAAATACTCTCTTATATTCAGAGGTGTTTCTAATATTCTGACCCTCTGATGTATGTATAATGTAGCCCAGTAGAACACCACCTTTAGCCATGACCTCAATAATAAACATATAGTTGAATTAATATATTCAGGACAATGTCACCAAAATCTGAACCATTTATTTATTTTATTTATTTATTAATTCCAAGCATGTAATAAAACAGAGAAAAAGAAAAAAAAAAATCAACATGTAACACAAAACAACCAAACCAATTACCATATACAACCAAAAAAATAGAAATTTCTCTTGATTGTCTTGCAGAAGGCTCTTTGGCGCTGAGAGGAACTGCAGTCATCTGTGTAGTGGTGCTGGTGATTATTGTGGTGCTCGTCTACAAACGTATGAGGACTTTTTGTTTAGTAAACTGCACAACATGAAACACACATGTACAAACATGCACACTTTTCTTAGTGGAAGTAGGTGATTAGGCCATCCATGTCATTTCTGTTTCCTGGCTGTGAACAAGCCTGATCGTACTTGTTCTTCTCTGCCAGGATCTCAGTGTTCGAGAAACACAGGACATGGAGCACAGAACAACACAGAGGTAAGTGTGTGTATCTCTGTAGATGTCCAGTGTGTGTGTGTGGTTCATATGATGTGTTCCCTGCAGTATGAGGCACCTCGGGGGGATAAAAGAGCAGTTGGTGGTTTTTGGGAGGAGCCCACATGATGTCAAACCGTCTTTAAGGACCTCAGTATGATTTGGTGTTTAGCACTAGGACTGTGTATCATGTATTCATCCTGTGTTTCATTCTGAAGGACCACAGCTATGCAGAGATACAAGAGCACCCCCAGAAGCCAGCCTCAGGAACTGAACTGAAAACGGTTTATGCCACTGTCAACCTTCCCCCAAATCCCTCTGCCTTCATGTTCTACTCTGAAGTCAACAGCTCTGGTGAAGTCAGTGGGGACACATATTCTGCTGTGAGGGACGATGGCCAGCACTGAACCTACTCGGCTGCCAATCATCCAACCAGGCTTTGTGAAGACGCTCTTGGTTCCACTGCCAACAGGCCACAGCAGCAATGAATGAAGCTTCTTTTTCAAAACCAGGCACAAAGAGAGCAGCGCAAACAGCAGCCAACAAGTCTATTGAACTGTGTTGAAGAGACTGAATTGTCTGCCTCGTGTTCCTTATGTAAACTTTATGTTCTGTACAAAACATTCTGTGGTAACCTGTACCATTTCACGCACGGCTAATCCTGTGGCAGAGAGGCTCTGCTAAACAGACCGTATTACATCTTTGGTTTTTCCCTGTATTCTAACATGTCTTCATCTATTAATATATTTATCTTCATGTTTTGTTGCTTGATACTGTTAACAGCTTTTTTGTTGTTCTGCTGGTGGAGTGTATTTAAGAAGAGAAAAAGATTTAGGACACTATTAACTTTGTTTAATTCACCAAGGTTTAGTCACAGGCTTTCTGCTAGTGTTGTAGTCAAGACCACCTAAACGAGACCAAGACCAAGACCAAGACCGGAGTGTATCAGGGCCGAGACAACCACTTAAAGTCTTGGTCTTGTTTCAGTGGTCTTCACTACAGCACTACTTTCTGCATTGGTACACACCAAGTCCTGCAATCAAACAGTGGAGTTTCACACAAGTCCAACATCAACTAAGCCTCAAAAGGTACCACAGAACTGAACCAGCTCCCTGAGATAAGAGTTAATCCAGCAGCTACTTTGGACTGGACAGAGCACAGGTGTGCATGTGACAAATTACCTAAGCATTCTTACAGCTGCTCTGTTATTGCTTTAATGTATATGCATGGGTTTAGAGGACTGGTTGATCTGAATGAAAGATGAGGCATGGATCTCTTATCTTCACTTTTAACTAAAATGCTAAGGTTTGGGCTTTAATACACTGCATTTAGATTAAAATAAAAGCTGGAGTCAGGACCAGTCATGAAAATGGTGCAGACTTACTATCATAGTAGTCTAATATACACAAACTCAGTGACAGTGGAAGAAGAAAGAGGAAGGAGATAAGAAGAGGATGGTTAACCTAAAATATTAACAGGAAACATAGCTGCACAGACGCCGGAGATGAAACCAACAAATGCAAAGAGGAGTCGACACAAATAGCTGGAGCTCAGTGATCACACCGAAACTTCAGCTTCACAGAGGAACAACATGAAGAGGTTTGTCTTGCAGAAGGCTCTTGGATAACTGCAGTCATCTGTGTAGTGGTGCTGGTGATTATTGTGGTGCTCGTCTACAAACGTATGAGGACTTTTTGTTTAGTAAACTGCACAACATGAAACACACATGTACAAACATGCACACTTTTCTTAGTGGAAGTAGGTGATTAGGCCATCCATGTCATTTCTGTTTCCTGGCTGTGAACAAGCCTGATCGTACTTGTTCTTCTCTGCCAGGATCTCAGTGTTCGAGAAACACAGGACATGGAGCACAGAACAACACAGAGGTAAGTGTGTGTATCTCTGTAGATGTCCAGTGTGTGTGTGTGGTTCATATGATGTGTTCCCTGCAGTATGAGGCACCTCGGGGGGATAAAAGAGCAGTTGGTGGTTTTTGGGAGGAGCCCACATGATGTCAAACCGTCTTTAAGGACCTCAGTATGATTTGGTGTTTAGCACTAGGACTGTGTATCATGTATTCATCCTGTGTTTCATTCTGAAGGACCACAGCTATGCAGAGATACAAGAGCACCCCCAGAAGCCAGCCTCAGGAACTGAACTGAAAACGGTTTATGCCACTGTCAACCTTCCCCCAAATCCCTCTGCCTTCATGTTCTACTCTGAAGTCAACAGCTCTGGTGAAGTCAGTGGGGACACATATTCTGCTGTGAGGGACGATGGCCAGCACTGAACCTACTCGGCTGCCAATCATCCAACCAGGCTTTGTGAAGACGCTCTTGGTTCCACTGCCAACAGGCCACAGCAGCAATGAATGAAGCTTCTTTTTCAAAACCAGGCACAAAGAGAGCAGCGCAAACAGCAGCCAACAAGTCTATTGAACTGTGTTGAAGAGACTGAATTGTCTGCCTCGTGTTCCTTATGTAAACTTTATGTTCTGTACAAAACATTCTGTGGTAACCTGTACCATTTCACGCACGGCTAATCCTGTGGCAGAGAGGCTCTGCTAAACAGACCGTATTACATCTTTGGTTTTTCCCTGTATTCTAACATGTCTTCATCTATTAATATATTTATCTTCATGTTTTGTTGCTTGATACTGTTAACAGCTTTTTTGTTGTTCTGCTGGTGGAGTGTATTTAAGAAGAGAAAAAGATTTAGGACACTATTAACTTTGTTTAATTCACCAAGGTTTAGTCACAGGCTTTCTGCTAGTGTTGTAGTCAAGACCACCTAAACGAGACCAAGACCAAGACCAAGACCGGAGTGTATCAGGGCCGAGACAACCACTTAAAGTCTTGGTCTTGTTTCAGTGGTCTTCACTACAGCACTACTTTCTGCATTGGTACACACCAAGTCCTGCAATCAAACAGTGGAGTTTCACACAAGTCCAACATCAACTAAGCCTCAAAAGGTACCACAGAACTGAACCAGCTCCCTGAGATAAGAGTTAATCCAGCAGCTACTTTGGACTGGACAGAGCACAGGTGTGCATGTGACAAATTACCTAAGCATTCTTACAGCTGCTCTGTTATTGCTTTAATGTATATGCATGGGTTTAGAGGACTGGTTGATCTGAATGAAAGATGAGGCATGGATCTCTTATCTTCACTTTTAACTAAAATGCTAAGGTTTGGGCTTTAATACACTGCATTTAGATTAAAATAAAAGCTGGAGTCAGGACCAGTCATGAAAATGGTGCAGACTTACTATCATAGTAGTCTAATATACACAAACTCAGTGACAGTGGAAGAAGAAAGAGGAAGGAGATAAGAAGAGGATGGTTAACCTAAAATATTAACAGGAAACATAGCTGCACAGACGCCGGAGATGAAACCAACAAATGCAAAGAGGAGTCGACACAAATAGCTGGAGCTCAGTGATCACACCGAAACTTCAGCTTCACAGAGGAACAACATGAAGAGCTTCCTTCTTCTCGTCCTCTCACTGACGACAGGTAAAAAGATTATTACTGCCACATCACTGAGAGATTTGACCGATAACTGTTTGTGCAGAGTCTCAGTTATCCAGGTCATAGTAAACTGAAAAAACCTCCACTGAGTATAAATTCTACAGTAGAATTATAAGTGACAATACCTGTTGCAATGTTTTTCCATGTGAATCAAAACCACCAGCTGTTTGCAAGGCTGTACAGAAAGCTGCTCATTATAACGTGTGGCTGTGAGATCTGTGTGATCAGTCATTAAGAGTAAGGGTTTTTATTTTTAATGATGATTTTGGCTTCCAACTATTATGAAAACAAAATAATCAAGATAAAACTATTATTGTGCCGCGCTCTGCTTCACTATAGTGTTCTCATTTTGCATTGTGTTACAAATCCAGCGAGATCATCCAGTGACTGACTCCTCGTCGTGGTCCGTGGCTGCAGGTTATACTGACTAAGGTTTACTGTAGACGACTGTAGTGCCTGACAGGATGTGAACGTTTGTCTTTTTCTGATCTACAGGTTGTGAGGCCAAGTATAAAGTGAAGGGATGTACAGGAGCATGGGTTGAATTCACCTGCAACTATCCAAAGTCAAATTCTCAAAGTGTTGGCATAGTTCATAATACACAAATAACCATACGAAGCACTAGGAAGAATGAGTGGGAACACAACAACAGATTCTCCCTGTACCATGATACACAAAATAGAAACCTCAGGGTGTTCATCAAACATCTTGTACAGGACGACTCTGGGGACTACCAGTGTAGACCACACCAGTCTAGACCACACACAAACAACCTACAACTGGACCCTGGTAAGAGACACTTTCTATTAAAGTTCATCCATGTTGCATGTGTATCACCTCAAGGCTCTTTTAGCATAATTAGAAAAAATAAAACTGATCAAATGTAACAACCCAAATGCACAATCTCATATATTGAGTGAGATTTCATAAACGTGTAGGGTTTATATGTTTAAAGGCACACGTCAATTAAAACCTTGTTAGACACGGGGGACTTCCAGTGTAACTCAAGACCACACACAAAGGACCTACAACTGGACCCTGGTAAGACACACTTTCTATTAAAGTTCATCCATGT